ATATATATATACACGCACATATATATGTATATATGTATGTATGTATGCATGCATGCATGCATGCATGTATGTATGTATATTGATTGATTGCAAAGGCTCCTGATTTCCTGACATCTCAGGCCAAGGCTTTTTGCGACGCCTCTTGGGCCACTGGGTACCAGAAGGCGAACGCCGCAAAGCCACGTTCTGGAGCTACTTGAATCTTTCTAGGTGCGGGTGCAACTTCCTTTGGCCATGTGCGCATCTTTCCTCTCATAACTCATACTTAGGCTCACGCTTCATGCCAATGCCTGGTTCGAGCCACAAGAAGAACAGCACGCGATTTCAAGCCACTGCAGCAAAAAAAGGTTCCGTTCATGGAACTGTTTCGCATACTACCAGGCAAGCACGCTCTGATGCTTCATTCCCTTATTAAAGCACCCTTACAGGGTTTCCTGGAATACCCGAAACCTGTTGCCAGCCGAGCATTTCCGCCTAGTCTCTGCCAGGTCCTGCTGGTTGAAGCCTGAAAGTGCAAGACTCAAAACTTGGACAGGCCGCCACTCTTGGTGGGAGAAAGAAAGACGGTACCGTCAGAAAAGAGGGCACCCTAAATGGATCCTCCGCCCAAAGAGGTCCCGGAATTTCAGAAATTGTTCATGCCGGGGGCCCCTGCTGTTCAACTGGGCCGCCCCTTACGTCGCAAGCGAAGCCGGCGCAACTTCGCCTGCTGAGAGAACCACTTCAAAAAGGGTCAAGATTGCTTGGAGTTGCTATTATCGCAAGCGGCCGAGTCCTTGCTTATTTTGCCATATGCCCTCATTGCTGTGAAGCGCTGCTGCGCTGTGGTTTTACATGTTGGAGGCGGGGGTGCGAAAGCTCCGCATGCTCGTCTGACTCTCTGGTTTGCACCTTTGTTTGTTGGTCACTGCTTTGAACCCCGGCATCTTCATCGCTTGGGATATCAACAAGAGGCATCGAAACACAGGCACTGGGAAACCGAACATGTCGTCACAGCACCGACACGGCGGATGAAGCAGAAATCCACTCCGTCTAATATGACCCACGGGTCAGAACCGTGTTTTGGCTTTAGGATGGCTTTTCCGGGTGGGACGAGGGAGTTTCAGAACTTACGGAACCTGTTGTAGAACGCCAGATAGTGGGCATCCTTATCAACTGCCAGAATTATCAGTGCCTTAATGGCTCCTTGATGAGTCAAGGAGGCAACCCGGTCCCGGCTGTCAAGAATCCCCCAAATCGATCCCGTAGAGGGTTTCGACTCACACACTCGCACAAGGCTGGCATGGCTGACGAAGGTCTGTGTATGGGGTTCAGGGTTTAGGGCTCTCAAGAATCCCATAGTCACCGTCATGCTCGCTTTAAGCTAACGCCTCGGAGCTGCGAAACGCTGGGATCCCAGGATCTGTTTGCCAACTCCTGGTCAATGGAAACAACCCAGGAGTGCGGGCAGCTTCTGCAAGCTCCGATATGGATTGCTAGAACGTTGGCTACAAGTTTGAGAGAAATCTATGAGTGTAGGTGTAGATGATGTATGTATACACACACGTATAGCCTCAGCACAAGTATACCCATGTCCATATCTATATAGAAGCATACACACACACACACGTGCGTGTGTATGTATATATATATA